TGTGTGTGTGTGTGTGTGTGTGTGTGTGTGTGTGTGTGTGTGTGTGTGTTGGGGAGGTGATGGGAAGAGGGATTTTTGTTTTTGTTTGTTTGATTTTTTTTTTGCCTTTTCACAGATGAAGATGCCTCTGGGGCTTTGGTTTGTGTTGGACATTAAGTAGTTTCTTCACTCTCCATGGGCTTGCACATCCTGACAACCACAAGTGACTGTGTGCTGGATGGGCCAGTAGATATTGCACTGCTAGCATTAAATATCAACTTGCCACAACCCACAGTCACCTGGGAAAGGAGTCTCAACTGAGGGACTACCTAACTCAGGTAAGCCTGTCAGGATAGCTTCAGAATTGTCTTGATTTTATTCACAGGGGGACCCTCCCTGAATGGGAGTGGCACCATTTTCTAGGCTGTACCCTGAACTGTGTCAGAGTGAAGACAGCTAGCTGAGCATCGGCAGTGGACAAAGAGAAGGCAGAAATCCAGGGGTTCTTCTCTCTCTGCTCCTGGCTGTGGGCATGGTGCTTAAAGTTCCTGCCTCCCGACTCCTTAACAATACTGAGTGGCAGCCTAGAACTGTCAGTTGAAGAAATACTTTCTGCATCTGTGCTGCTCAGGGTGTTTCAACACAGCGACAGACATGAAGCTACAACAGACCTGTCATGTAAGATGAACTTGGAGCTCCTGCTCACTGCTCACGGTGGGCATCCTTCTGGAATTTGAGATTTAAGCTCTTCTCCTCTCCTCTCCCCCCCTCCCTTCCTTTCCCCCTCCCCTCTCTTCCTCTCCCCTTCCCCTCTCCCCCTCCCCTCTCCCCCTCTCCTCTCCCCCTTCCCTCTCCCCCTCCCCTCTCCTCCCCTCTCCCCTCCCCTCCCCTTTTCTTTCTTTCTTTCTCCTCCTTCACTATCTCCTCTTCCTGCTCCTCCGCCTCCTTCTGAGATAAGCTTTCTTTACACCGCCCTGACCATCCTGGAACTTGCTATGTAGATGAGAGTGACCTCGAACTCACAGAGATCTGCCTTCCTCTGCTTCCCTAGTGATGGAATTTTTTTTAATCTTCTGAATGCCTTTATATATCTTAAATGTTTTCCCTTTAATAATATGTTTTCATAGTTGGAGGAGCCATATTGATTCACCTCAGCCTGCCACATCACTTCTGAATTAGAAAAAGAGCACATAGGCAGAACTCTGGGGCCCATGATACAAGGGACAGGTTAGGATCAGAAATTCCTTTAAGGGATGGAAGGAACATATAACAGAAGAGGAACAAAAAGAGAGTCGGTTTAGAAAAAGGTCTTTGCACCTGATGCGGGATCAGCTCTTCCCATGAAGAGTACTGTGCTTGTTCCTCATGTGTAAAGAGCTATTTGAAAGGGAAACTCAGAGAACACATAAATATATTTATATATGTATATATAATATATATTATAAAACACACACATATATAATATGTAAATAAGAATAGAATGGGATGAACTGACAAAGGGAATGACGGCCACTGTCATTTACCTCCAAGGAGACTGCTGCCCCAGAGTAATTTGGAAACTTCTGATTGCTCTTGTGCCATTCCGAGGGATTCTACCCGCCTAGTTCTCTGGCTATCAACATCCACCAATGGGAAGGGAGGCATAATTTTATATTGCCTCTGCTTCTTGTTCTCTGTGTTGTCTGCATTCACATCTGGTTGTTTGGAGGCTGTCTGCCATGTGTATGCTACATAAGAGCAAACCGGATCACGTTCATTCTCTCCTCTAAGTCTAAGCTGTCATCTCTTTGAAACGTGGCTTTCCCGAATCCTGATTCGCTAACCAGCAGTGCTTTGCTGGGAAAGCTCTGGGGTTTCCGATTAGAAGAAGACTTTCCACTCTGCACTATAGATAGCTCACTTATGGAGAGGGTCTTGCAGCCTGGACCAGTGTGACCTTGCATTGTTGAGCTTGCAACAAGAATGCTAGATCGTCAGGGTTTCCCCTCCATTTTCAAACAATGGCCATCTCACATCATCTTTTCCCAAACCCCAGAAATAAGCTGTGTTGACCTCAATATTCCCATATTACAAGCAAGGACACCTAGAAAGGTGATAAGGCACACAGGTCTGGAGTACCACTGGGCTTCGTAGCTAGGCATCTCCACTTTATGCCACCCACAGACACGTTTGGACAGGCTTACAGGACGCACTCATTTCTGCACTGGATTCCTGTCAGTCAATCACAAATACCACATGAAACACACACCTCTCCTCAATCCTGGTCTGGCCTACCGTATGCACTAGCAGAGACTTAGCTCCCTCCCTTTTATGGCCCCTCGTCATTTATTTTAATTCAGTCTTTAGATGCAGTCTTCCTGTGCTGCCCAGACTGGCTTCAAACTCGTGGCTTTGTACAATGTTCCAGCCACATCCTCAGATACTGTTTCTGGCAGAATCCATATACAGGCCAATGAACCGTTGACTCCAATCACAGAATTTATATCATTGGTCAGTAGGAACAGTGACAACATCATCTTTCTTGGCATTACATTTTATTGAATACAGACTTACAGTCCTTAAATATCTTAAATAGAATGTTTTCAATATACTGCTCTTTATTCATACATATGTTTCTTTAAAGCACAGAACTATAAATTAAAATGTACATATTGCCATAAATCTAGAACTATATTATAAAAATAGAACCCAAACATAACTTCATAAATAATTTGGCAATTTAGCAGTATGACAAGGTGGCCATACTTGCAATGAATGCATCACCGCTTCAATCAACTGTCTCATTTTCCATCTCTTAGGGACACATGGAACAGTCTTCTTTTCTAGAGTCCCCACAGAGCAGCCTGTGGCCATGGCTCAGAGTTGCCTTTGCATAAATACGAATATCCTCCTTTGTTCTTGGAGGGGGAAGGCCAGCTTCCAGTCCCTCCCTAAGGGAGGAGGTGTTCCCTCCAGCCAAGGGTCTACCACTTTCAGGTCGTACACCCTCACAGTGCATGGTTTGATACATCCAATAAATACAGCGAGTTTCTTGTCTGACAGAGAAGAGCAGCCAAGGCTTGGTTCTCCAGATCAGTGTAAATAGCTTAGGAGAAAATCACTGAAACAACGCCTGTTGGACAGTGTCTTCCCAAAGAGGGCACCACTGCTCATCTGCCATGCACCCCTTCACCGACAACCCAGATTTAATTCTCACAGACTTGCCAGAGACCCCCCCCCCCTTCTAAATAGATGGGTGAGATTATCTGAACTCAAGGAAGACTGTGCTATGGAAGGTAAAAGAAGACATGTCTGCATTCTAAACGAACTCGGGCTATCTGTGTGCATGTGAGTGTGTGGAGGGACAGTGGCAGGTAATGGTCCAGAGCTAGCCTCTGCCTTCTTATTTAGACCCATAACACATGATGAGGTGACTCTTCTTCCACTAGCAGAGTTACCATGTGCACCATGGGTGTTGCTGGGAAAGAAGCATAAAGGTTAAGTTTCTGAGGACCTCAGAGGGAGCTCTCAGCTCACTCAGGCTACTTTCAAGCCAGGCTGGGTCTCCAGTTGTAAAGGTCAGAGGCCACCTTGCTACATAAGGAGGGCTCTCTCTCTCTCTCTCTCTCTCTCTCTCTCTCTCTCTCTCTCTCTCTCTCTCTCTCTCTCTCTCTCTCTCTCTCT